GGTTCCAACTCACCGCCAACATGCAGATGGGTTGACCAAGAAGATGAAGAACATCCTATGGGAGACCTTCTGCAAGCTCCCCAGGATTTCTCTCAAGGAGACCGAGGACGAGCGGAAGCTAGAGGAGCACAGGAAAGGTTTGAGGAAGGTGACAGCGTCGCAAGGACCGCATGAAGGGCCACGAACCTTCTCAGGCAGCGCCTGCTCATGTACAGTATGTACAGCTGCAATCATGTCAACACACTCTTAAAGAGTTTGCGCTTGAAGGGGGTTCCCATTTTGAAGGGGGTTCCCAGCTGTATGCTGACTCATTGCTGCATTGTTGCACAATTATCAAGCTAGCGTGATGACTCCTTGCTGCGTTATTGCACAATTATCAAGCCGGTTCCGGCCAGCAGGATAGGCTGCACACATTGCGCTTGATCCCGCCCACCCACCAACTGCCACCCACCCACCCACACAATTTTTCTTCACCCACAGAGATATGGTCAACACGACAGGTGGACAGTCCTGAACAAAAAACAAGACTTCTGGGCTATGAGTAAACAAAAGCATTTGGGTTGCAGAGTGCACACTGTTCTCTTTTTCCTGAGCCCGCCTGCCTCCGGCCGTTTGCCAGTGTTTCCGGAAAACTTTTTAGAGTTGGGTTTGTTTCTATTTTTTTCGGTTCCGGCACGCTTCATGTTTTTTCCGATTCCCGCGCGCTTCGTGTGGCCAGTTCAGACCAAAATAACCTGCACGCTTTACTAGCAGCCAGTCATGTATGTGTGAGACACCAGGCCACACAGACAAGACAGAATCACAATGAGCCATACTCCATTGTTTTCTTAAGTTTTCATACTTGTAGTATAGCATGGACCCCGTGCTTCTGCCGCCAGTGGATTCGCTAAGCGAAAGCGGTGACAGTGGCTCCAGGAAGCGGCCGGTGAGGAAAACTGGGCTGAAAAAGAAACGGGTTCCTTTGGATGATGAGACGCATTTGCGGGCCAGTCTTGCGAAGCCATGCAAGTGCAAACGAAAGTGGTGTTACCAAAGGTTTGCTCAACCCACATTGTTTTCGTCGTTGGTTCAGTTCCGTCGTGAGTGGTGCCAACTTCACAAATTGGATCAAGACAGAGAAGCGCCTCGGAATTCCATCAACACATTTTTGTCGAGGTTCTCTATAGCTTAAGTTTTAGAATGTTTTTGCCACACGAAGACTTAAACCGAGAAGGTTGTATGTGTAAATCTTCCACGTTTTGCCCACAGGCCTACAACATCATCCTTGAGCACGTGCGAAGCGACTCTCCTGCGTGGGCCGTTTTGGGAGAGAAGGTGTGCTTGCAAGCGTGGAAAGTCTTGCGTGGCCTTGGCGACTGGGGATGGTCTCAACAGTTTTTCTAGGGGAAGAAACAACTATTTTGTTTTTTTGGCTGGCTGTGTTATTACGATGTGCGGGTTGCAGGTTCCAAGCGTTTCAACCGATTGAAAGCACACGCGCAGAATGGGTTGCCTTCTCCTCCTGTGGACACTCGCTATTTGAAACGGCCAAAGTCGCGAGAAGTTAACGAAAGCCGTGCCTCAATAGTATCTTTCCTAACAGAAGTGTATCACAGCATCGCTGAGACTTTGCCAGACTTTCGTGACCAACCCTGTGACATTGACGCCCCGAACATCATCTCTGTTGTTGCTGGTGACGAACACCTTGACCCCTACGCTGAACATTTAGAGAAGGATCATGCAGCAACCTTTGGAGAACCTAGTGCCAATGTGGAGCCCAACGTCACAAGTCCGAAGAAGAAGCGTAAGATGCACAAGTCCGTGGCGATTAACCCTGCCCGACAATCTGGGTGTGAAACGCATGAAGAGAAGTGGCTGCCCCCGGGGCAAATGAAGGACTATTGGCGCCTATACAAGAAAAAATGTGGCGACGGGCCAGTGGCACATTTCGCAACGTTCTGGCGGGTTCCATTGCTACACCAAGCAAAATTTTTAGGGTTAGGGTTTTAAATTTAAGTAATTTCAATTAAATGTGTGCTGGAAGTTTGTTGGTAAGAGCAATTAGCGATGCACAAGGTGTGGCTCAGTGAATTTTCCTTCTTGAAGTTCAGACAAATGCGGCAACACCCGGAATGCTCTACTTGCGTACGACACAAATGCCTGATCCGTGGGCTTGGCCACCATATTCACGCGCGTGTCAAACAGGAGGAGATGTACCAAGAGCGTCTTCACGCGCAATACTTGGATCGCATCCAGTACTGGTCAACACGTGGTTTGTCACGTTCTTGTTCTGGAGAACTATGTGTCATCCTTGATGGCATGGATCAGGGAAAATTTGCATTTCCAAGACATCCATCTATGCACAGCAAAGAGTTTGCTGGGTTCACGAGACCACGCGCACACGTGATCGGCGCAATTGTTCATGGCAGATCCATCATCTACGCGATAACTGAGCCAGACTTGCCGAAGAACGCAACGACGCACATAGAGTTTTTGGCCTACATACTCACACTAGTATCGGAACAAGAGGATTTGGCCACACTCGCATTGAGACTCCAATGCGACAATACATCTAGGGAATGCAAGAATAATATTATGCTTGCATTCCTAATTTCCATGGTGTCCAAAGGAACCTTGATCTTCGAAGGAAGCTCATTTTGTTTTTCTGTTTGTTTCTGGTGTTGTTCCGTAGTTACTTGCCAGACCCAAGTGTCGGGCAATCTGTTTGCAATCATAATCATCAGGCCAAGCTGGCCACTTGGTGTCAAAGTAATGATCCGTAGGTGCTCATGGTCACTATATACTGTAATGAAAAAAGATCGGCAAACTTACAGCTGTGAACGATTTTGGAAACTGAAACTTGGATTGAACAATCTTATCCAAAGAGGGCTTCAATCTGAAGCAACTAGACTATACTAGACTATATGTGTTTGAAGCGTCACTAGGAGTATTGCGGGAAGCTTCAATATCATCACTCCGCTCCGGACATTCCCATGAAGACATCGATCAGGGATTTGGTCGATTGGCAAAGTATATGACCACACATGGACGCAATTGCCTGACACCAAATGACTTTGTAGGAGTCATTCAGAAGTTCCTCAGCCAGGCGCACTACCCCTTCGAAGCAGGCAGACAAGCTGTGAAGATCGATCAAACGAGAGACTGGCTGTTTGGTTGGTGTTCAGTAGCTTTGCTATTTCTTTTTGTTAGTTGAAGAGTGTGGAAAGTAGCCAAGAAAACTTTTACATATGGCTAGCAAGCTCTCCACTTAGAGCCAAGGAAATCCTTTCTGACGGCTGCAATACCGGTCCATTTAAAGGGAATGGGCGGTCCTGGTGCGCCGCACGTATTCCGCTTGCAAAGACGAGGGAACTCAGGCCTGCTTAGCGGCCTGCTTTGATCCAAACGTATTCTTGATGGGGGTTGCTAATCATGGGTTGTGGGCATTATTGGGTGTGCGCGATTGCAGGACTCAGCCGTGAACAGATTTCGGACAAGTTCTTCAAGCTCACACCTGCCCAGGAAGGCGCAGATGATGTCATTCTGCAGAAGCCTGGCTCAAAGGTTGAGACCAGTGAGCTATCATTTTGGAGGGATGTGTTGTGAAGCTTGTGTGTTAAGTTAATATTCAATAAAGTTTTCGTGAGGCAGGTCAGCATGACATGAGCCTGTGTGAACCAGGTTGTACTTTGTGTGTGTATGTGTCAGAGTAGTAAGTGCGACGACTCCCAGGACAAAACGGTGGATGCACGACGAGAAATACAGCGAGCCGATGTTGATGTACCCCCAGAAGCTGGCTTTGGAGTTGCTCCCATCAGGCTTGCCAGTAGGCCTGAGTTGGGAAAGGAAAACTAAGCACGTGTTCTAGCTAAGAGCTAGCCCGCCCCAAGGTTCTGAAGTCGAAGCTTCATGTTTCAAACCCTGCAGTACTCAGTGCCAAGAACGAGATTGGGAAGAGCGTGAGGGATAACATCATGCAGCACACCCCTTTGCTTCGGAACCCCTTGTACAAGCTGGGCCCTGCCGCTGATCATCTGGAGTGTTGGGTTGACGGACTGTTGCCCCCGGCTCCATTGTTGGATGTGTCGGCGTACCTCAGCTCAAGGAGGTACACAGTTTTACTGCAAATACTTTGGGGGGATCCGTTTTGATGGCATCGTGGTAATGACGAAGCCCAGTTTCCCTTTCTACCCATCCCAGGTGTGCCATTGGTGAAGGAATGCGCCCAAGGCCAACATCGAGCGACGCGCCAGCTGCAGAATCTTTTGAGGTGGTTCCCAATGTGCTCAAGTTCTTTGTCTGACATGTGTATCATTTTGTGTTCTTCTATGTTTTCAATAGATGAAGTTGTTTTACTGAAACGGTGTGGTGGGTGAGCCAAGGCTTGAGATGCCCAAGAAGAAGAAACATATCGTTGCAGAGTACAACAGGAAGGCGTCCTCCAGGCAGACCATACGGACAGCTGCCCAGCAGTGGGCAAACGGTGTCCCTTGGAAGGATGCTCTCAAGATAGCCCAGGATGTGTCACGAAAGGTTTCACAACACCGGCGCCATAATAATCTTGGCCAGTGAACGGTGTTAGCGACTCGTCTGAAAGCCAAGTCCCTTTTTTGCATTGCGACCAATGCTGTCTAAATTATGGTGCTTAACTTGGCCACAGACCTGAGCCAGCGTTTCACATTTTCGCCGCCTTCAAAGCGGGGTCCTCTCAGAAGCAAGAAATTCACATCTTTATTGAATTGTGATCCTTCTACAGAAAAGCTCAACAAGATTTGAAGGCTTGGGACCTGCTTGCTGGACAATTTCAGTTTTTGGAGCGTAAGAACATAATTAGAAAGTTGCGCTCCAACAAATAAAGTCCAAGGTGCTTTCTTTTTGTCAGCAACTTTTCCACATTCCTTACTTGTGGTATCGAGCGTTGGACTTTGCACGGTTGCTGAACCTCGGGTCGGCGATCGCCATCACTGCCAAATACCACACCCCGGAGCCAGGAGCTCGGAAATCAAACGTGAATATTCTACGCCATCCTGAGTTCCTGTTTTCAGAGGTACACTTTGGTAGGTTGGCCCCTTCCAAAACCAAGGTCGAGGCATTGGGTTACTGGCACGAAGTTCGCTTCTTGATTGAGGCGGGGTTGGTCAGGTGATTGTTTGACTTCAATTCTGTTGTCGTTTGACTTCCGTTCTCACCCGTAGTGCCCTAAATCCTACACTCTGTCGGCTTTTCATCCTGTGGTAGCTCTCTGGCCCAAAAATGATGCCAAATGCTTCGTCAGCAGACGTTTACCACATGGATGGCCCTGCGCGTCTCTACCTGAGGCTTCAAGACTTTAGCTCCACCGAGCCCCGTGCAGGCTTTTGTTCGCATATGAAGCTTTTGGCGCGTGGTGTTCTGAATGAGATGAACGAGTGGCCAATCATCTCCAAGTGTCCAGTTTTAGAATCTATGGCAACTGAGACCTTGTGGTTTTCCTCGGGGCAGTCACTGTGTGAGTTGGAAAGGCGCTTCACAGTGACATTGACAGAAGGTGCATGTCGACAAATTTCGAAAGATTTCGATGACGGGGCGGCCACAGCCCACTTGAAGAGTGTGATGCTAGCACAGGGGGTTGCTTCTCTACAGTCCTTCACACTTTTTCGCCAAATTGATGTGTGCTCCGACTACATGGCGGACCTTGGTGAACAGCTTGAGTGGCCAAAAGCTGCCAGATTGAGCATCGCTTTTCAGCATGCAATTGCCTTCATTCGGTAAGACTTCAAGACAGAGATCAGCGCCAAAAAATAATCATTTAACTAGCATTTTCAGGTGTCAAGCCGCGTTGCATCTGGGTTGGCTGCAGGGTAAGTCTTGCAGTCATTGAAGCGTTCTGTTCGTGCTCCAATTTCTGTTCACTCACTGAATGATTTTGGAGAGATTTGGGAAGTCTTAGCTGTTTGCCAGGCCGGACCGTTGCAGTTGGGGCCCCTGGCCTCAGAAGCAGCAAGCGTCAAGTGTTTGTCGGATTTTGATTCATGTGTTGTGAAGATCAACCACTTATTGTCCACAGTTGGTTTCTTCAGCTGTAGCCTTTGATGGGTCCCGCATGGCCTCGCTACCGCCTGTAGACACATTGTCGCTCGGGGCTAAGATTTTTCAGATCTAAGATTTTTTCAGATCTACATTTAAGCAATCCCTAAACCTTTGAGTTAGGCCACTTTCCCATGCCCCAGGTCTGACGAGGAGGGTGGGCGGAATAATGAGCCGAAGGATCAAGCCAACGTACAACCGAAGAAAGGGAAATCGTCTCGGAAGGCGTTTCCTTTTGGCTTGTGGTTTGGTCCGTTGAAGATTTGTTGAATTTCAATCGGTATTTCTTGGCCGTCCCGCTTACGCCAGTCAAGGTGCAGCGCATGCGCAGGAATGCCAAGCGAGTGAAGCAAACATTTCTCAAGTACAAAGAGTCATTGAAGTTTCCAATGAAGGTGCTTCTGTTTTGCTGTGGAGTTGTGATCTCCAAGATCAATCCTGTGTGTGTGTGTGTGTTCAAAGGCTTGAGGTTTGAGGTTCAATGATTGCCAGTTACCACCTCATGGATGCGTTGACTGTGATGGGAAACTGTGGAAAGCCAAAGTCGTGCTGCCCAAAGCTGAGCCATTGGGCTTGAAGGTTGCCCTGGGCTCAGGTTTGCCAAGAAAGCCGTTTCAACAAGCAAACTATTCGTTGTATTTTTTGATGAGGCAGTGGTTTTGAAGCGAGGGCTATCTAGCTTCAATTCAACGTCACTAGGTCTGCAAGAACAAGCCTGGCACCAAATCCAATGGTGCACGCCGGTTTACGGGAACGCGGGTTTTCAAATCGTGGAGCACAATCCGTTTTAGCCTCAACCCATCGTTATTTTGCAGCTGTGTCATTGAGGAAGGTTGGTTTGCCGGCCAGAGCCGCCTGAGGTGTGTTTTCAGCTACAACGTCTGTGTCAAAGTCGGAGGTAAGTTGCCGTGGCATATGTGTGCAGCGCTTAATTCTTCCAACTCAGTTCTTGTGTGGCAGCTCTAACCTACCAAATTAGTTGGATAAGGGATAAGGCAGAGAGTCACTAACTAGTTTCAGTATGGATACCTGCGCAGGTCGGAAGACATTTCATTGTGTTTATTCAAAGTGCTTGGAAGAAATGCACAAAGAGTTGCAAGTAACCATTGCAAACTCGTGTCTCCATGAAAACCAAAGCCACCACAACTGTTTTGTTCCCATGGTCTCGGCGATTGTAGATACCCTCATCAGAGTGAACGCACTTGCTTCGCCAGCAATGAATGTGATGTATGTACAAGTACAACTGACAAGTGTAGTTCCCTTTTGCACCGTATCCTAGGACCTGGGCAATCAAGTCTTCTACAGTGAGAAGTACCAATCTTCCATCAAGCAGAGGGGGATGAACGTCAGTTCTGGATCTTGCCTGGCGCCTGCCGCAGGGGAATGGTTTCAAGGCGGATGTTGTATTTTTTATGTATATATATCTGTGGTCTACGCAGTATATTTTTTACAAATATGTACAGATGTAAATAGCACCTACGTTTCTTTCTGTACCAGGCTTGCCCACTGGCTGGACATGCCCCAGGGCAGGCTCTGTGGACAAGCAGCTTGTCACTGCTCGGCTCAACATGTGGAATTTGCCGGACTTCTACCAAGTGTAAATAGCGTGTTCAACAGAGAAGGTTAGTTGAATGTGTGGATTTGGGTCTACGAGTCTACATCATTGCTGCGCCAGGATGACCAAAAGATTCCTTGCGTGTCGTTGTTCACGGGGGTGGCTGGCTTGGAGTTTGGCCTACATGCGCCCGGCGCCAAAATTTCAATTGTTGAAGTTTTCAACTGATGCACTCACTACACTTCAGAGCTGGCTGGTTGATTGCAAGTGCTTCACTGGCTTAATTTGGCTCGACCAGTCAGCCTAGCAGCTTTCTTAAGTGAAAGTTTTCCTGGCTATACATGGACAGTGGTGGGAGTGCATCCTGGCAAACTGTCAGAACGGTGGGCGTAAATCAAATACGGAGACTTTGAAGCATTTACCAACTGTCCATGCGATTGTCAATGGTATGTTTTGAATTTGTCTATTTTGCATGGGATCTTAGATGGTCAATCCGAGGGTCCCTCATGGAGTCCAAGTTTGGTGCAGGTGGCATGGTGATGAGAACTTTGGCTTAAAATTCAATACATGCCTGACACATGTCGCAGTCTTGGGAACCATTTTCTTACAATTTCTGGATCTTCCAGGGACCCAGAGCGCCAAGGTGGAATTGGCAGAAGAATGAATGGATCAAGATCAGCAACAAGCCTGGGATCAAGCCAGATGCCACTCAACACCAAGAGGCCCCTCGCACCAAGCATCCGAGAGTCTATGTTTAGATTTGCTTGCAAAGCTTGTTGGGATATCGGGATCAAGGTAGGCTACATGCAAAGATCTGTGCTCATTGCGCCAAGGAGTCCTGGCGCTTGATGGAAGATCCTCCACAGAAACGTCGAAAGTGACGGTGAAAAAAGTATGCGTGTACATGTGTGTACCCTTTGCGTGCGCTCACAGTGTTGTAAATTCGACTAGCTGCTTTTTGCGCAGGGTTCTCACACTCAATGCAAGGTGGTTTAGACCTGTGGCCATGGCTTTGGGCTGAGCTTCTGCTCACTTCCAAACATGCCGTTCACACATAAAGTCACATTTCCCTTGAGGTCGAAGCAGATGAACATTGTGTGAACGTGCTGTCCTCGAGAATGGCCGATCACTGCTTGACAGAGTGTGGGATCGTTCGGGATGTTTGTGGGTACCAGCCCACGGGCGAAGCAGCCACAGCAGAAGCCGTTTTAGCCGGCTTTCCATGTCAGGCCAGGGACCGGTGTCAAGTCTTCAAGAAAAGCCAGCCAATTTCAAGGTTCGTGTTCATTTGAAAGTGCTGTCCGCAGGGTATTTCCCAAGCAGGCCACCAACGTGGTGTAGAAGATTCAAGGTCGATGCTCATCAAGGAATCTTTTGCGTGTTACGACAAGTTACCCAAAGCGCCCATACGTTGGCCATCGCAGCAACATGTTACAGTGTCGCTAGTTTAATCTTGAGACAGTTTAGATCCACTGGCGTTCAAGGTGAATGATGTTTCTCGAGAATGTCGGCGCATTGCTTAGCACCCAGAAGGAGTGCCGCAAGATGTTCAATTACATCCTTAAGGCTTGCTGAAGGGGTCTTTGGCAAGTGTTAGAATCAAGTTTGGTTTCATACTTGTTTGTAGCTTGTGGGCCTTTGTGGGCCTTGTGGGCAGGCTTGTCGCTCGCGGGGCCTCGACTTGTTTTGGACTTCCAACAGACTTTGCAATGTGGGGCAGCCGGCCATTAGCTCATCAAGTGATTTTGCTTCATGTTTTTTCTCATTGACGGGCTCTCTCAGGCCGGACGTCTCCGAGTGTTTTTGCTCGCCATTTCCCAGACCGAGAGGTTTCCAGAGGCTGGGTTGGATTGAATACTTGGGAGGGGAGCCCATGGTGACACAAATGTTGCCCCAAAATTGGCGTTCATTTGGGCCCAACACATTCAACCATAACCGATGTTAGCACTTCAAAGACACAGGTCAAGGTAGAGTTTAAACGTCCAGAACCACAGAACCACAGAATGGGCAACATAGATCAACATAGTAAAACAAGCGTTTCTTTTGTGAGATGTTAAATTTGATGGCGTTGTTTTCTACATCCTTTCGACTTCGACTGGCTTTCCTCATAGGCCAAGCCTTCCCTGGATTTCTGGGCATCGCGCTCATGGAACGAGGAGAACCGCGTGGACCTTCACAGGTTTTTGCAAAACCAGTATAATGCTGAAGAGAAGGACCGCATGAAGACTTTAGGCAACATCGTAGTTCCGCAACAGGCATTTCTTGGAATGTCTGTTTTAACACGGTTGCTGGATGGATCATTTTTCTGAGTTGTTGGGTCCTCGCTTGGTCACAGTTTGGAATCTCAGTTGTGTCAAAAAAAGCACACGTTTGACTGAGGTTAGGGTTGTTTAGAATTTGGATTGGTAGCGACGGACCGTGCAGCTAACTGGGTTTCTGGGAGATTGGCTCCAACCGAAGCCAGTGTTTACTTTAACGCTGGTCACTACTAATTCAAATCCTACCTATGCAATTCGTGTGTCCAGTGAGTGTGAGCTCTAAGCGGAAAATGAGGACTTTCAGTTTGCCAAGTTTGAATCATTTTGTCGCCATGAAGACTTTGATTTTGTGCCGCCACGTTCATCTCACTGTGTGACGGTGCTGCACTTCTGGCCACAGCCTAGCGTGCTGAGGATAAGGTTTCGAGACATCTTGGACGAAGCGCCGGGAGCCATGGCCACCATACACTCTCCAATTTTCTGAACTCTTGAAACTCAACAATTTCCAATGTTTTGTATTTTTCAAGTGATGTCTTTTTTTCTCGAACGCTTTACCCGTCTTGTCTTTCGGATTGGATTGAAACAAATATAAAACATCAAAATATCGCGATTTGTCACTTTGAAGTCAAAAATCATAAAAATTTGGGTGCGGCATGGACTTTAGGAGTGCTATTTTTTCCTAAAGCATCAGAAGTTGTCACTTTTCCACGCGTTCAGTTGCAATGCCCAAAGTGACGGATCCGAGGTGGGATCCATCACTTTTTCCTCCCTTGACTTGTGGGGATCTGAGCCGCGCGTCCCCTTGGCGAGTTTGAGATTCCCTCAACTTTTGCAAAAAGTGACGGATCCGAGGTGGGATCCGTCACTTTTTGGCCTTGCTGGCCACATGCTCCAAAAGTGACGGATTTCTCGGTTGTGTTTTTGGACCAAACAGTGATGGATTTTGCAAAGTCTGGACATCACTGTGACATCACTCAAATTTCCATGAGCAAAAAAAACAAGGTCGGAAAACGAGTTGTTTGAGTTTGTACAGGAAGAAGCACACTTCTTGGGGATTTTCTCATTCCCTTTGCTCGCCATGGGACTTAAGTCTGCGTTGCTGGTCGATCATGGATGGTGTAAAAAGATTTTCCACAGCAAGAAGACTTGGGAAATCAGGAACAAGGCATGTACGAAGAGAGGTCGTGTGGGGATCGCATGCTCTGCAAGAACCTCACCGACGGGAAAAGCTTTGCTGTTGGGGGAAGTCACGATTACAGATTGCTTGGTTGTGGCTCGGAATGTGCGAGGCTTCGTTTCTGCTCCAGAGGTGATGGACAATTACATGTTCTTGGAGGAGAACATCCCGAAACATCAGGTGTTCACAGTGAAGGACTTTCCAATCTTATCCAATTACAAAACAGTTTTTGCGTGGGTTCTGTCCGACCCATGTGAATACGCAGCCCCGAAGGAGCTAGTTGCAAAGCAGGGCTGTGTAGTTTGGGCGAACTTGTAGACCATCACACTGTGTGTAGCTCTGCCAACACCAGATTGACGTTGAACTTTGTATAAAAGAAGTTGCATTTGCTTCTGGAGATTGAAAGCGTTGTGTGGCAAATCATGCCTGCAAAATAGAGGGCAGTTTCAGGTGACCCCTGTGTACAAAACAAATGGAAATCGTAGGGCCGCTTGCCTGGCCAGGTGGCAGCTTACCTAGCTGGCGAGGTTCGAATTTCAGAAACCAGCGCTGGAATCACTTGTAGAACTTTGGTGAACGAGCGGTTTGCAATTGAATCAATTGAGCATGCAGCAGTATTATCGTCGCATACAAGTTTCCGAGCACCGTCACCGTTTTGCTGATTCTGCATTGCTGTTTAAGGGCTGTTTAGTTTTCCGACATTCTTGTGAGTGTCGCTATGGGTGCCAAGCGGAAGTCCAACCCGGGCTCTGGTGAGAAGAAGGCCAAGAGCTTGCGGACCGAGCTGGCGCACATCACCCGCATCACAGATTGGTCCCTTTGAGTGTGTACTAAGACTACGTTTGTCAGTGTGGTCCTTTTCAATGTGTTCAGTCTACTATATAGTTGCAATGGCTGAGTACTGTTCATGTGCAGGTTACGGGAGGTCGTAGTTGCAGCTGGTGGGCCAGACAGATACCTAGATGAGAAGTATGTGTCTCAGGCGCGCACGGTTTGATGTGGGTGAATCATTGATGAAAAACGTACCTTTTTTCATATATCCAACCTGCAATTATAGGAGGCCAAAATGGAGTTTGCACGCTGGCTCGACAATACTTTTCCTCCGAAAGAACGGCCCGGGCCTTTTTTTGTTTTGTCATTGGCTGGTTGTTCTGTCCTGTGTGTGTGTTTACACCGTCCTTGGATGTCCTTGGTCCATTTTCATTTTGGGCAAACAACGACCGAGGGATACATACTGCAGTGAGATTTCTGACGGACCCAGCTTCTGCGACCATACCACCTTGCGTGGAGAAGTGACTTTGGGCTGAGTGGTGTTCTAGAGCCGGAGGAGCTCTATACACTGGCAGAGTTGGTGTTGGCCGAGGGGCAGCTCGGATGATCACACTTCAAGGCTATATTATTTCTCAAGCATGCCAATTCTGTTTTTCCTTGGCATGAAACATGGAATTGTTGTGTTGTGTGAATCCAGCTCTAAAGTGGAATTGCTGTCAGCCGCCAAAACGGTCCGTGGCACTGAGAGGTTCAGAACGGATTCATCATTGCCGGGGGTGGAACGCCTTGCAATATGCAAGCCGGATTCCGCAATGCTAGAGAAGCGACACACACCGTTGAAGCGCTTGGACGGTCATAGTCTCAGGTGTTGCTGTAAGACCAAGAAAGAGAACCAAAAACGAAACCCACCGAGTCTTTAGATTGGCCAAGGTGATTTGTTGCCGCCATTCGGTGTTGCCTACGTGAAGGGTTGGCGGAGGAGCGTCACTGCTTTGATAGTTGCTGAAGGCATTCGGAGCCTTGAGGTCGACGTTTCCGAACTCACAGATGTGTACAAGGACTGTGTTCATATGAAATGGTCAACGTCAGTGCTAAGGGCAATAGTTCGGGTTGTAAATACATATATCTATATATATATATTATAGTTTAGAGATGTGTGTGGAGCTGTCGGACCGCTTCTTCCCACAGGCTTCGATGCGGACCATCTATGCCACTGTAGGCACCTATGGGCACGTGAAGGATGCGATCTTGGCTTCGCGAGGCCTACGCTTGCAATTCCATGGTTGCCCATAGGTATAGTCCACTTATTATTCTTAGACCCACCCCACCCACTTCTCCACAGGGTTGATGGGGTCAATGGTTGGAGCCCAAGCCACATGAACAAACAACAATGAAGACGGGGACGGGTTGGTAATTCGCCGTTGTACTCGCAAACAGGAATCACAATGGCAAGCACATCGACCAGACGTTCCCCACATTGCTTCAACTTACTACGACAGCACCAAGTCCTGGAACGGGCAGGAGCAACTAGCGAGGCCTCAGAGGCAGATGGGCTACTAGTGAGAGTTGATTTGCATTCACTCTCAGCAGATAATTAAAGATCCTTCAGAATATTTCCATGAATTGAAATTGGAAGTACTACCCCACCCCCTTCAAACATATTAACATACCACCAGTCTTCTCAGAAACTTGGCCCGTTTGCAAGGTGTGGGAGGGCGCAGCCTCTGTTGCACGGGCATTTTCTATTGGAAAGCATGAAGCCGGCGCAATTTTGAATTTGACGAAGAAGGTTTCCGATGGCGCACGCCAAGCGCTCCAGGAATCCGTGAGGAGCAGAGGCATGCGTCCGTTCCTGACGCACGAAACCATCAGCCGAGATATATTCAATCTCGCTTTCTCATCGGGGGTCGGGCAGTTGGAAGCGTGGAGTGGACCTCTCACCAACAAGGAGGATGATGCCATCGTAGCTTGATTTCTTTCCTCATGTCTGTAGCTTTTGGGTCGGGGGTGTTTCCACGTGTGTCAGTTGCAAGCCGTACGCCCATCAAGCTATAGGTGTTTGCGCCCCGATTTATGAACCCCTGGTTTCAAATTGACTCAAGGTCAGCCTTTTGATCTCCCGCATGGCAGTTGATTGGGACCGGACTTCTCCAAGTATGCGGAAACCATGGGGCTACAAGGATGTCCTGAACCTTCACGCAGCGACCGGAGGTTTCCTTCATTTCATGGGGGTGCTCAAGGAGAAGGTTCCCCCTGCAGAGTTCGCAAAGCATGAGACCAATTTGATGGAGCAATTCAACCTTGGTGTGCTTGATCCGGACGTGATTCACGCCCTCGAATGCTCTGTGCCCCCTGGAAACCTGGAGTCTGTTGGGTTCTTGAGGCCTGCTGGGCTATGCTGGGCTACATTTTGTTTTCAGCCATGGCCAGTATCGTATCATGTTTTCATGATGTCAAATGTTGATAAACTGGCGGGTGCCTATTATTATTGTAAGCGTTTCAAAGGTGTCGAAACGTGTAAGCTGTGTAAGTCCCAAATTATTGCCCCTGATGTTAGCACGCTGCAGGGCAGTGGCCCATGAGATCGAGAACCGCCAAGTGCGAGAAATCGAAGAGCGGGACCGAGAGCTGGCTGAGCGTGTTAATACAGCGACTCTCGAGCAGATCAAAGCCAAAGTCGCAAGTGATATGGCGATTCTGAAGGAGCATGTTCCATCGAAAGAAAAAGATGCTGCAGAAGCTGCTTTGGACATCAAGTACTTGCAGGAACGGCAAAGGATTCTTGTTTCAGCCATTGAGATTAAACTTTGAGCTGTTATTTGTTGGAATGTCATTCTGTTTGAAGCAATTTGTTCGCCAGCGTTCTGTATTGGCTCCTGTAAGGACAGGACAGACTCACACGAAGGAATGGATGGAGTCGAATTGCAAGTTTGTACTGGTTGAGAATGAGTTACAACCTGCTATGAGGGATTTTGCACAGCTCATGGCAAAGATTGCTGAAGATGGTGGCCAAGTGCAGCTTGGCTTTTACTTTGACAGCCAACCTCCGCGGGCCCAATCGAATAGGCAAATATGAGCCGGGTGTAGGGGTGTGTACAGCTGATCAAGAAGATTTCAGTTTTCTGTTGGTAACACCGGAGCAAGGTACACTCTTGTTTTGGTTGATGCCACAATCTTCCCTGCGAACGCAGTGCAGCTGAAGAACGTGTTTGATGTTATGGCCCTGGTTCTCAATATGGGGCCGCAGAACATCGCACATGTCCAGATGCCGATCCTGCACACCAACACTACGACAAGTGCAGTGTTGAAACATCGTCGCCATGTTGAGGATTCCATTCTGGGCAAGAGTTTGGACATGAACCATTCACTAGCCTTGAACTTCGCGAAGCCGAACGACGGGAACTCGTCCGACAAGAGACGACTCATCCAACATTGCTTGGCAGTTGTGGGCGATTCCAAAGCAAGCCCATGGACTCCTCCATCGGTGGTGGGCCCTGTGCCCCTCATCCGAGTGGCAGACATGTTGGGGTATGATGCGGACTCACGTCCTGGGGCAACCGCCCGTGCTGAGCAGATTCTTTAACCTAGTTTATGCAAAACAGTTGTGGTGTGGTGTGGTAGTAAAATTAGTAAACATTTGATGTTAGATTTTTGCATTTTGGTTCGACATCCCACAATCATTGTGCTCCAAGGAAAGGATTGGCAGTTCATTCCACAATCCTGGAAGCTTACGTCGACGGCATCGACCTCAAGGAGCATGACCATATCTTGTTCTTCGACATTTTGCCAAACAGGATGGGTGGGTACAATCAGATTGAGCGTGAAGATGTTTCTTTCAACAACCCTGGCAGGCATTGTGAATTTGGTCGGGCGCTTGTGCAGAAAAGGATTGCGGGGCACTGGGGCAAGATGCACTATTTGGGGTTGGTCCAGAAATCCCAGAAGGACGCCATTACAGCTTTAGAGGAGCAAGTCTATGTGGCGTGGGACGCAGGGCCCAAATCTCCACCAAAGCAGCGTGCTCGCAATGCAGCGTCAGTGCCAAAATTGACAGCCTTGCTCTTCCAAAATGGGCGCCCTAAGTTTCCGGATGCACTTGTCAGCAAGTTTCCACAGAGCGCTCCGCAGCATCAGGAAGTGCTGAAGCTCAAGGCAGAATTGGATGCGCTTTGGCCACCAGAACCCCGAGGCCCACAGTCCAGGACGACCGAATCCACTCCTGAATCAGTGCGTGCTGTGGGGAGGCCAGATCTGACGGGGGTGGACTATTTGGACGTGTCGCGTGAAGTGGACCTTGCGAAGATTCCTGAGAGCGAATTCCAGGAGGAGAAGCAGCTCAGCTGTCATGTGCAGTTTTGAACATACTCTTGTGCAGGTGTATCACTTAAAGCTTCAATAACTATGTGTGGTAGTTACGCCACCCCGCTCAAGAGTTCGGTCAATATGAAACAGTATGAAACAACATGCAATGTAGGTATGGGCAACATGTCCGATTGCATTTAGGTCTTGGTGGGTTACACCAGATTGGTTCAAACTTGCAATGCAATTTCGGAACATTGAAGCCTTCCCATTTATTAACCCACTTACCAGTGAGGCTGGCGCAGTGCATCGGGAAAGCCGGAAAGCCAACCGTCTTCATCAACAAGACATTCGGTGTGTTCTTGGGGAACCCCACAGACCAGGAGATGGTGGTCTCTTCAGGGGAGCTTTTCGGATTTAACACGGGTGCTTTTGAAGTCAAGCTGATTTCAGGTTGCTTGGCTTTGCTCAAAATACCAAGGATAAACTTTTCTATGATGTACATGAGGTCAGGTTCTTCAAGACATTGACTTGAGTGTGAATTTGCCCAATTCAACGGCAAGGCAGTGGCGGCTCAGAGACGCACAGCTTGCCCTGGCACCTTGGATCTGATGTGGAGTTGGTTTCCCACAACAAGGTGGCCATGCCACTGTGCAGTGCGCTTTGCGAGATTACACGGGAACGTGGTCTCTCTGACTTCACGATGACCGACCACGACCTCAAGCAGAAGACTACCCCGGTTTCTGGTGTGATCGTATAATCTTCCACTGTGTCTTTTGAAGGGTGCTGTGAAGAGTGTTGATTAGCAACCATGCAATCCGTGCCACAGTCTTATTGTAAATGCTGTTGAACATTCATTCCCATCGTGCTGTAGGTTGGTGAGGGCAGCTCTGAGACAACGTTGGTCCCCTACCGCTATGAAGTTAAAGCAGAGCCGAAGACAAACTGCTTCAAGCCCAACCCGTTGGGAGGTTCTTTCGACCATGACGCCCATAAGCAAAGCACGCTTGGCGCGGTATTTATGGGTTCGATGAACCGGCTGAACCGCCAAGGGCCAGGGGGCAACAAGATCGCTTCAGTGATTTGGGAGGTGCTTAGTGCGCGGTTTTTTGTAAAGACACTTCAAGACCTTCAGCCCACGATTTGCCAGGTGCAAGTACAGGCTGGGGCATCTACGGCCAAGCTGATGCCAGTGAAGCCCAAATTCTTTTTGACGTGCCAAGTTCGCCTGCCTCCAAAGACTTGGGCAAAACTGCCATGAGTGTGATGGCTCACACCAAGTTCAATGTCATTTTGTGGGAAGGGTTGGGGCATTGTTTCTTTTGGGGGAAGTTGAAAGATCTGTGTTGCACCGCTGCAAATTGTAACGCATGGTGTTGCCTCCAACGATTCCCACTCATTTCTTCGTGTGGAAGCCTTCCATGCGGAATGGTTTTGTCTGGCCACTGTGGCCTATTGACGCTGACTTGACAGCTGGCAGTTCGATGTATAAGTTCTGCAGGCTATGTGTGTGTCAGAGACCCACTCACTCATTGGTCATGTTACCAAGATAAGTTTCCCTAGTCACAGTTCTAGAGACTAATATCTAAAGCTGAATGCGCCAGCAAGTGTGTGTTTTATTGTGTTCTTGCTCGCTGAGCAACTTGGTATCGAGCTCGTCCTGTGTGCTGAACTGAAGATCGTTGGCCATGGTTGTTCTTCCGCCGGTCAGCCAGCTATCAGGATCGGAAGAGGACAGTGGCTGTGTTGATTTGCTTTATGTGTGTTGTGGCCTCCCTGCAATTTCCTTGCTGCTCCCAGGAGAAGGTGCAACCCAAGGCGAAACCCAAAACGAAGGCGAAAACACTGCCCAAAGCGCCCAAAACCAAGGCCGGTGCAAGTCCGAGACCCAAGCCAAAGAGCAAGCCAAAGGCCAAAAGCGCAGCAGGTAAGGCAAAAGCGAAGGCGAAAGGTAAGGCGAAGGCGAAGGCGAAGGCGAAGCAAGCAGCAGCAAACAAGAAAAAGAAGGCGGAGGTTGAAGGTGACGAAGGTTCAGTTAGTGTGAAAAAGCGCCCAGCTCGTGGAGGCTCTCCCATTGCGTGTTGTTTTCGATGTGCCAGGAAACGCGTTTTGAATGTGCGATCGCCAGTAAACGCTGTTCCATGTGCTAAGTGTGGAGGTGCTGCACTTTCTGACGGCACAGTATTCAAGAAGATTACGCCCGTTTACTACTACAAGAAGACCAATATTTACGCTGTGAAAGCTGATGGGCATGAAGCCTTCCAGGCCTCATTCAACCTTTTTGCTGCTGAGCCAGCGTTGTGTTCCGACTAGTGATGTGACTGTTGGCAGATTGGCGGTGCTAAGCTGCCTCACAAGCTTTCCCGAGATGCTGCAGACACCTCCTCGGTTTTTAGGGCAGTACACACTTTGATAACAGTCTTTGCTTTGCAAATGGTTGGTAGGTTGAGTCATGAGTAATTCGTCACGGTCCTTCCAAGGAGATTGTGAGGGATCATTTGGTCAAAGGCGACAATATTTCCTATTGCAAGAATTTGGCGGTGGGATTCTCAGCACCAACCTATTCCCTTTAAGTATGGGCTCCATGAATGAAGGTGTCATTTGTTGTCTTTGTGTTGTGATGCGTCCCACACTCAAGGCCGAACTGAAGAACCAAATCGTTGCCAAGGTAGAAGCAGGCCCCTGCTTTACTTGATGTTGTATATACTTGGCGGGGCAATTTTACATGTATCTGTATATGTATATGTATATGTATATATTTGCTAGTTCTTCATACCAGGTGAGCATGCCGACCTGCCAATTTGGCCAGATGGGGCTGAAGCAGATGGTGATGCGGAAGAACCATCTGCCCAAGTGGCTGACGATGGCGCTGTCCCTGAGGGCGACGAGGAGGGTCCCGAAGAGGAGGAGGATCCCGAAGAGGAGAGTAAAGAGCAAGACGCCGCGGTTGAAGTTGATTGATTTTGGTTGTTTGAGCCTCGCAACCTCCCACCTGTGGTTGCTTGAGATCCGGTCGACGGGCTGACGCTGTGTGTGAAAATGAACGCTGTGTGTGTGTGCGTTGCTGAGATTGTGACAGCAGTGTAGCTGCCAAGGGTTTGTGGCTTGTCACTCAACTATTTTGTGTGAACTGAAATCCAAGTGGATTCGCCAAGTGTTCAGACCCACTACTTGTGAGTTTGGGCGTTCCAAACAAATATCGTTGTGCAAGCAAGTTGGGCATGTTGGCGTTGAGGTTATCTCACAACACGCTCTGCTTGTGGAACTGCAGGTGACAACGGCTCAATTTTTTTGGTGGGGAGAGATTCTACATGAAAAGGCCTGCTGGGCTATCCAAGGAGAAGCGGCCCTGCAAGAAACCAGCAGGCCCAGCTTGTTCGTGCTTTCACATTCGCGTGCTATGGTTGTGTCTGTTTGCAAAGCAAAAATGTTGAGTCTCCACACTCGAGTGAAATGGTTGTTTCTCGGGCAATCCAGTATTGTGCTGGAGGAAATGAAAAACCTCAGACGTTTGAGCCATACTACATACCCAGTGCACGCTGCTGGGGGATCAAAGTGAGCGACAAAGAAGAGATCAAGGCCGTTTCCCTATTTATCTCATAGCTTCATTGACCAACCATGCACGGAATGCTTCTGTTTCAGAGCGGAGCGCCGGTTCAGGTTGGAGGGATTTTCTACGACAAAGACGATGCCTATGAAATAGCAGTCTGAACCCTTTTCTGCTAAATAGTGTTGACTTCCTCTGACTTAGATTTTTGCTTTCAAGGTCATCGCAGGGAATCACTTGCTTCAAGGTGATACCATTGAATCATGTCGAATACTTGTTGTTCCTAGGCTGCGCATGGTTTGTTGTGAAAGAGTGCTGCAAAACCCCTTTAAAAGACAAATATGAACACTATGCAAAAACCAAGGCTGAACTTTTGGAAGCTGCCCGCAACAAAAAGTCGACACCTGCTGGAGGTGCTTTGATTTTGTTACCCTGTGGCAATGCCTGTGAGTTCAGTTTTAACATGTTGCGAAGGCGGAAACGATGTGGCCGCAATTGGTGCTGATCAACATCGTGACGTTGATGTGGACTCTGAAAAAACGTTGATCTTAGGTCAACAATGAACCCCACAGATTCAGAGTCGACGAGTGGAAAATGATGTTTCCGAAATCTGAGAGCGGCTGCGTGGGAAGGGAGGATCAATACAGTCCCCTGCAGAGAGCTATACTATGTTTGTAACGCTGGTGAAACGTTTTAGTTTGGATACGCTTTGCAACTCTTCACTGCAACACCATGCC